TCCTAAATCACTCGTACGCACAACTTAAGAACAAATCTGTGCGTACGAACGGTTCTTGCATGAGGCCCAATATGCTTAGAGGATTTTCATGATCTTTTTTAAATAGAACATCATAACATAGGGAGGTTAAACAAGGAGATTTGTTTCAGATCAAGGACAAATGGAGCAACAAAGGGAGTATAAAGTTTTTGTCATCTAAAACTGAATACATTTTGGAGTCTACCCAATTCAAGATGGCCACCACAGCTAGCCAGACTTAGAAAGCATGAACGGCTGTAATGTGTGGCAATAGCTGACAGCCATTCCCAACACATACAGCAAATTCAGTTATCAAAACGTTATTGCAGTTTCTACAGACTGCAGGAGGTCTATCAGACTCTTTGTGTGGCTCGTTAAAGCAGTGCAGCTGCTGTTGGTTTTGTTTCCTTCACTTAGACATCTAAAGGAGTAGACAGTAAACAATAGAGCTCAATATTGGGCACATATACTGCAATTACAGTGGCAGGAGCTGTGCATTGCCTCAGGCCAGACTCTTCAACTGCTCCATGTGTCTGAGTGTGCATCCGATCCATAAATGTCTGTCTTTGTTTTGGTGTTTTTATTTATTTATTTTTGGTCTGGATCGGCAAATTATCCTAACTTTTGAAGTGAGGTGTCTCTGGTGGATGGATGACRCCTGCTGTCGATAGCAAGGGCTGCCCATCAAAAACACTTTTCACATCAAAGGGATCGATCCAACCAACACGGATGGATGGACAACCCCAACCTTCCTAGGAGGATTCGCCCAGTTCCAAACAAACTGTCTCATTCGAGTGATGCGATAACGAGGATGACTCTGTCTGTTTGGTTTGTTTGTATTAGCATCTCACGCTGCTGGGGTGCAAGAAAAAGTCAACAGATTTTGTGAGCTGGTTTTATGTGATCTGGCACTGAGAGCTTTGCATCTCCTGAGGGTGTTTGAGTTTGTTGCATTTTATGTGGGGGAATATAAAATGGTAATCTTTTAGTCTTACTCGGTCTAAAAAAAATGTTCCAGCACCCCAGTGTTCAGCTGTACCACATTAAAGGGTGATAAAAGTCGAGATAAAAACCCCAGCTTTCCCCGTTTCTTGAGCAGTTCTGTCAGGCCATTTCTCTTTTGATTGGTTCTAATTTTAAACAGAGCAGTTGGTTTTTAGGATTCTAAAAATGCAATTTCTTTATTGATAACAAAGAAGCCTATAGCCTTCATTGAGGCAATGCATATCACCTGCCCTGTTTCATGCCAGACTTGTAGACAACGATCATCTTCTACTAAGAGGAGATAGAGTGATAGTGATTTTAATGAAACTACGCACAATCTTGTGATATTGCAAGGCCTATTAATGCTCACAGTAGGGACGTGCCGATACTAGTTTTTCTTGAACCAAGGATGAGTACAAGTACTGCAGTTTGAGTACGCACCAATGCTGAGTACAGAAACAGAGAACATACAGAGTAAGATCTTAAACATTTCTCTTGAAATGTAAAATGTAACACATTCAATGGAGTATCGATACTGGTATCGGTGCGTTTTGGACAGTTACAAGTTCAGTAGAAGTTCTTGAAAAAATGCTGGTATCGGGTCCGATACAGATAATAGTATTGGTATCAGGACACCACTAGCTTATAGTGTGTTTAGGATGACTCTAAGCTACTATTACATCAAATATTAGCTCAATGATCTCAGATTTTACTAAATCATAGTCATTAAGTTTGCTAARGATTCTTGGCTGTGGTGAACATTATGATTTGGGGTGACACCAGAAGTTAATCTGTTGTAGGTGTACATCCAATGGCAGTGGTGGGCTCATAGTCCCCTAAAGTGAAATAGCGCTAATTGCAGACCTAAATTTCTCATTTGCACTTTAGGGCTTTAACTAAATTTATTAAACTGTGTGCGGATTTGTGCTTTCTAAATTTAAAAATTCAGTCACACCAAATACATCTTTTGATCAAATACTGATTGTCATTATCTTTAACAGTGGAGGGAGAGAACCATCTCTAGTCAATACAATTGCAGAACCATTGTAACTTAACAGCACCCCCTCCAATATCTGTTGTTCTCAGAGGCTATATACTCTGACTGTGCTTCTGGGTCACGGTTTTCATTTAAGAGACACTTCCCCAAATTCAGCTTTATCACCATTATCTAACACATTCTCATGTCGGACTCGTCAACATATTGACGCTTGTGCAGGGACCGTCTGCATCCAGTTTTGACACGTCGGGTACCCCGCACGTCCGTCCTTACCACCCGCGGCTTTACCGGGTTATGTTACTTAGGGGTCTTTGGGTCGGGGGTCTGAGGTTAACGTGAGGGATCAGGATTAATGGTTAATTTGAGATACTGGGGTCAGGGATAGGCTGTATATAGCTAATTTAGGTTAAATTTAGGCTCTGGGACGGTTAGTTCTCGCAAATTCTCTACATTTAAAAAAATGGTTAATATGAGGGATCAGGGTTAATGGTTAATTTTAGGGTCTGTGGTCAGGGATAGGCTGTAGAAGGCTAATAGAAGTTAAATTTAGGGTCTGGGATGGTTAGTTTTGCGCATTTCCTACTCTTGTAAAAAATATGACAACGCGTTCGTCCTCCTCCGCCTCATCTCGTAAAGAACTGACACACGGGGGGTACCCAGTGCATCTGAAAGTTGACGCAGACGGCTACCTGACCACGCATTAATATGTTAACGTGGGGGGCATGAGAATGCGTTGCATTATCACCATGACCCAAAAATCTGTTTCAACAAATCACCTCACCAAACTGCAGCGATATGTGCAACGCTGTAAAAGTAAAGTGGCGTGCCTCTAGTTGGCAGTATTATGCAACAGTGGCTCATGTTATCACTGGAATATACTCTGGCAAACTCTGAGACAATTCTGCACTTTAGAATTAGCTTCCGCTAAGATTTATTGAACATATGCATTTTAGAACTTACTAACTAACTTCTGGATTAGTTCTGCCCACCACTGTCCAATGGTTACTTTAAAAGTTTCATTAAAATCCCACCAGGCGTTTCAAAATATATTTTGCTTACACAAACAAGCAAACATTAAGATATGGGTAATCAAATTATTATTCCCCTTTGATGAGGAACAAAAATGTTTGCAAATGACTCAAAAGGAGACTCCCATTGCAACAGTCCCCTGACTTTTATATTCCCTTGCTCCAAAGTAAATTAGATTTGTCTCCTGAAGCTCTGTCCGGTGGAATGCTTTAGAAAAGGCCCAGTCAGTGAAGAGATTTCTTTTTGTTGGCAAGAGTGGAGGAAGAAAAAAAAAGAAATCACGGAGGAGACAAAGACCGCTGCAGCGCTGCTCTCTTGGGTCATTTCCATTCCGTCAAAGCCGTTCCTCCTGATTGGCCCTCTTCACGGCTGAAAGTGTGTGCCAAGGCCCCATTGGGGGATGACCTGATGGGGGGGATTATCCCTGCTTTAGCACAACCGTGGCCGACCATTCAGACCTTAAAACATCCAGCAACCCAGAGCATGGCCAACCCACTGGAGCAACTTTTTTAATTAACCACTTTTGGCGCCTCCCTTAGCCAATTCCTCCCTCCTCCTGTAGCCCCAATGGACACCATCTCAAGTCTTTTTCTTTTCCCCTCCTGCACGCCTTTGCGCTCCCTTTGTTTTATTCAACAGACTTATAAACTAAAGGGAATTAGTGCCTTTCCTCATTAAGAATGGATACATAGAACAAGAGCAAGCCAAGGAATCTTAAGGTTTAAAATTATCAACCTGAAAACATTTTTAATGAGCTTGTACTAAATTCTTTAGAGATGGACTTCCATCGCTCTGGAACAAAGTGAGATATGGCACACATACTGTATATAGCAAATGCAATAAAACTCAACAGACAACAATTGGAATGTAGCAAACTAGAGATTGAAACAGGAATAAAAAGTGAAAGCACAGTTTCACTGTATACCACAAAGGAGTGAATGTAGTCACAATTTTTTGAAAAATAATTTGATTTTTTGTATTTATAGATCTTTAGATTTGTAAGATGTCATTTTATGCAGATGATACATTATACTTAAAATATTGTTGCAAAGAAGAAAACATAGCTTATTTACTATGGAACTATTTTTTTTCTTAATCTGTGACTGAATCACATCTTTTGATGAGATTCACAATGGMCAAAAACAATTATGTTTTCTATTTGAAGTCAGATGTAGATCTGGCTAAACCTGGGTTTGAACCTAGGCTGGGTCTCACAGTGCAAAAAGGCCATATTTTTATACAGAGGGATTTTCAAACTGTGGGGTGTGCCTCCCCTAGGGGCTGTCAGAGTTCTTTCAGGGGTTATGAGAAAATTAATGTAAGGCTTATGTTGACACTGTAGGTCTTAGRTTAGATTTTTTTGCTCAGATCTTATGCGTGGTTTATCACATCATTAAAATGGGATGTCTCTCAGACTTCAGTTTGAAATGTTAACAGTTCAGAGGTGACCCGTCATGCGTAGAAGAAGCGATGGCATAARCAGTGTGCTTTGTTTTGGAARTAATCACACATCATGCTACATGYGTTTGCATGCGCRATTCTGAAGTTCTTGTGCAACCGGAAATCTGAAATGCTTATTGCATCCGATGTTTACATTTAATCTTGSCTYATGATGGATTCTCCRGTGCAGCATTTTATTTTGGGAGCAGAGCTTGATTGATCAGGTCAGACGGCATCATAGTAATGGAGATGGCTTTGCTTTGAAACATGAAGTTCGAAGTTTGAATCTTGGCTGAGGCCTTTCCCAGTGGTGGGCAGCGCTAAACCAAAAACTAGGTCCGCAATTTCTAAAGCGCTTACGAAAATATTTAGGTCCGCAACTTCAAAAGTGCTTATGTCATAGAAAAACTAGCAGAAACTTAGTTTAAAGCGCAAATTCAATTTGACACTTACTAGATGGCAACAATTCATGTACAATGTATGTACAACACTGCCAACTAGTGGTGTATGAACTCTTTTACAAATTAATTCTACAACCGCCGATTGCTGGGGATGTGATTTCATGAAACAGACCTTTAGCTCCTGGTGTAAAAATTAAAAAGTTGTTGAGGATTGCTAGTTCGGCTGCTTCTCTGTCTTTTTCTTNGGCATCATAGTAATGGAGATGGCTTTGCTTTGAAACATGAAGTTCGAAGTTTGAATCTTGGCTGAGGCCTTTCCCAGTGGTGGGCAGTGCTAAACCAAAAACTAGCTCCGCAATTCCTAAAGTGCTTACGAAAATATTTAGGTCCGCAACTTCAAAAGTGCTTATGTCATAGAAAAACTAGCAGAAACTTAGTTTAAAGTGCAAATTCAATTTGACCCTTACTAGATGGCAACAATTCATTGCCAACACTGCCAACTAGCGGTGTATGAACTCTTTTACAACTTATTTCTACAACCGCCGATAGCTGGGGATGTGATTTCATGAAACAGACCTTTAGCTCCTGGTGTAAAAATTAAAAAGTTGTTGAGGATTGCTAGTTTGGCTGCTTCTTTGTCTTTTTCTTTTGTTTGTTGTAGATTTTTCATTAAAGTAGCATCAATTAAGTAATTCTAAAACTGTTTATTGGAAAACTGAAGTGGTATTCTGGGTACATGATAGATTTGATTTGTGACGGGAAACGAAAGCACGCAGTACAGGAAACTATCTTCCCTTCAAAATAAGAGGTTGGATTTTAAAGTTTTCCATGTAGTTGCTCCAGTTGACCACTAGATGTCAGTCTTCACCAGCATAACATCTTTAAATCATTTCTGCATCTCTAACCCCGTTGCTTCGACCAATTACGTCAAATATTGAGCTCCAGCGTTTAAACTTTATTGTTTTTTAAAAAGGAGCTCCAATTGTAAAGTAAAATAAATCAATACATACAAAATTTTAGCATGGATTACAAACGTTAACTGTTTTTGCTATAGCCTTCCTGCTACGTAAGCAGACACAAAGCATTGTGGGAAATGAGAACTGTGACCCAAAGCAACAGTCAGCAAAGATGTATACCTTCTCAATAAGTGTGTTTATCTGGGAGGGGTACTGTTGGACAGATCACGTGTGTTGTGATTCATTGACAGCTATACCCTCCGCTGTTCAAGATAATGATGACAGTTAGATAATTAGTTATTAGTGGTACTGCATTTTAATTTTAGAAAGCACAAATCTGCTTATGAATTATAAAAATTAGTAAGACTGCTAAAGTGCAAATGAAATATTTAGGTCCGCAATTAGCGGATTTGCGCTTTAGCGGGCTGGTGCCCACCACTGGCCTTTCTGTGTGGGGTTTGTGTGTTTCGATTTTTCCAGGTACTTTATTTTTTCCCCAGAGTCAATAAACATGCTTGTTAGGCTGCCTGGTGWTTCTAAATTGGGCTTAAGTCCTCTTGCCTGTTGACCAGTGAAGTTMAGCACCCATGACCATGAACCGTAACAAGTAGGCACAAAAAAAGAAAAACATATGAAAGGATATTGAGGACAGAAACAAAAAGCAACAAGTGAGTCTGTTGAATATTACTCGCAGTACAATGTCTCACACACACTGACTGTATTTACAGTAAAGGAAACAAGTGTGCTTCAGACGCTGCCTGCCACGAGCCTCCCCTTCTTCTTCCTCTTCAAAGTCTTTGCTGTGAGGTGTTTTTTTTTCCCCTGAACTTCAAAGCTCCCTCCTACTAACAGCACCAAAAAGGACGAGCAACAAGTCAACATGACCGAGGGTTGCATGTTCTCACACACACGCCCTCCCTCGCACACACACACATGCGTGCGCTCGTCTCCTGCTCTCCGAGGGAAAACACAAGCTTGACATCACCGCTTACTTGCAAGAAAGGCATTTTTATCTTGCGGCGGATACTGCCAGAGCAGTCCTATTTTAGATGGATGGTTTCATGGGATCTGATTCACTGCATCTACTTGTTCATTCACAATTTATTCAAGTAGCAAAGACAAGGGTACTTCCACAAAGCAGTGTTCCTCCCCAGGTTATTTGGTAGTGATCTTTTTTATGCGCCTCTTGGCAAAATAAAGACCTGGGGCGACCTGAATGCCGAGCGGTAAGAGCAACTGGGTGCAAACTGCCGTCAAGTAGCTGTACCACTCAATTCTTTCCTGTCTGTCTTCGCAGTTGCTTTTAGAAACGTTGCTTGACTCTCTAAAGACATTTTGTCACATCATTCAGTAAGAAAATGTTCATCTGTCAGTGTTTATAGGCAATTTTTATTTGACACAATCCTTCAACAATATATTTTAAATTGATCGTAGTAGATGGATGCAACGCACAACCAAATATTCCTTTGACAGTTGGCTCATCTCGTTACATTTATGCCAATCAGCAATTAAGAGTTTCCTCCCTCAGAGCCCTTGAGGATGTTTTAAATTTATTCTCATGCATTAAAGCTGTTTAAATTGATTTTTCCCCTTTGCATGTCACTCACTGCTGTTCACTCAGAAACGGTTGTCTCTTTCTGAAACCATAATGATCTTTAGATTTGAATTCAACATTCTGTTTTACGTTCTTTCTGAATTTGATGACAGTTTTAACTTTAAAGGGACTTCTCACCCATCGAAGAGGTTGCACGACTCAACGCAGGTGCGGCCTCGTTTGAAGTATCGGCAGGAGAGACACTGGTCGGTCCCTGGGCCCCAACATCCGTCATCTGAACACATTCGATCGCAGACCATTCGTTGCTGAGCTGTGAAATGAAAATAAAATTAATACAATTGTGCATTGTCATGTTAAAAAAAAGCGAACAAAATTAGGAAAGCAGCCATTTACAAGCCATCTTTGCATACAGGTCAAGTTTTACAGATTGTCCGTAATTCACAGGGATTTTCCATCATTTTGCAGGTAAACGTATAGAGCAATCTCACAGATGTTGTCATGTTTGTTGCGCTTGTAAGCTGCTCATTTTATAAGGTGCAATCAAAATTTGCTTTAGATAAGAGGTGGAATTAATGGCTCTTTAAAGGGAAGCAGATCTAAATGATCTGTTTGTGTTTARGTGCCATTCAATATTTTAATGTCAGTGACATCATCACATACGCTGTACGGGATTGTCAAGGGGGGAATCTCCCCTCCTGAGCTGCTGCACTCCTCCCCTTTGCCGGTTTCCCTTTGTCTCAGTGAAAAAGGGAAGGAGAGCAATTGTGTCTGTACTCGTAGAGGACATTGGGAGGAAAATAAAATGAGTAATGGCTCTTTATTGTCTGCAACTCAATTCCTATTATTAGATAGACTGATTTGAGTTTTAGTTTCAGAAAGTTTTAGTCAAATTATACAGGTTATACTTGAATCTTTTTCAACCCTGTAGCACATTATGCTGTCTCTCTGTCTTTTAAATTAATATGTACCTCATCAAACTACTAAACTCTATGGGTTTATGTCTCAATATGATTCATCCAGAAAGTGGATGGTCTTTGGAATAAAGAACATAATAGGCTTCCAATTATACAGAGCATAATAAATTGTGGAAGGGTTTGAGCATGTACAAAATGTCTGCAGCAAAGTTGTGGACATTTATTAGGATGGTAGCAACATGTGGAGGTGACTGTAGGGCCCATACAGATCTGTGTGGCTTGACCACCAAGAATTTTAAAAAAGAGCTACATTGGCCTTATGCCTTATTGGGTATAAT